CGTGCTCTTACAATATATTGGCTAATACTGGTACAAAAAAGTCTGCAAACGTACACATTCAAACTTGACTTAGTCTATGAAACATTTTCCTTGTATTATTTTGTAAACCAGTAGAGAGGATCTTGAAGAATCTTCATCCATTCAGCAGTATGTAACGTTGAATAGAATTTTACTGTTGATTTTAGACAAAATTGATTGTTATGGTAGATCAGATGAATATAATTCTTCAAAATTAGGGGTAATAGTAAAACATGAAGACACCCAAAGACAGCACACATACAACCACAGACAGCTGGGTGTAGCTGTCTGTGGTTGTATGTACGCTGTCTGTACAGCTGTCTGTGGCTGTATGTGTGCTGTCTTTGGGTGTCTTCATGTTTTACTATTACCCACAGAATTAGAATATAATCAATCCAATTCAGTATGAGAATATCGACGTAGAAACGGGAGTGTATACCCAACAGTTTTTCATTTGACAGAAATGCCGATTGTTTAGGTAATACTGATGAACTAGAAAAGGAGTCTTCCAACTATGAAGAATGCATGCATTCTTCATCGCGCTAGTGTGAAGACCATCATTGTGGATGATTATATTTTGCTTGTGGTAATGGACAATGTACAAATACTTTATTAGATAAACATGAATGTATAAACTTACGTGATAAATATTATGTTCGTCGTATGTTAGACTCTTCTACTAGAGATGTTGGTTGGACATATATAATGTATTTATACACCAGGTTTTGAATGGGTATTTTCTGATATAATAAACTGTCGATTTTTAAACAGTCAATTATTATGTAAACAAAAATTTATGATTTTCCCGACAGATGACGCTCTTGCTTATCCGTCTATAAGATTATTATATGATTTGACTACAAATCGGACATTTGATAATATTGTACCCAATTATATTTGTTATGAACCAACGTTTTGTGAAGGTGTATTTAAGCCAACAGTAGTTATTAATAAATCATCGTGTGAAGTATACGAAGAATTTAATATGACTGAATATTATTTTAAACAAAATTGGACAACATTATTTTATAATATACATAGATTATTTTCATTGTGTTTAATAGATAAACCTATGGTCAGAAACGATGACAATAATTTATTTCGCTGCTCAGATTATACATATATATCAAGACAACGTCAGTATGATGGATGGTGTGATTGTCCGAATGATGAAATAATCAGTGTCATAATTAATACATGTAATATAAATCTAACAGATCGTTTTCACTGTGATAGATATAATCAATGTATAACGAAACGTAAAGTTGGAAACAATAAGGCGCCGCTAATTCAAAAGAATTGCAAGTTCTTATTTTTCACTTAAAACTATATCATTCGATGCAAAATTTCACGGTGATTACGAATA